AATCAATCAATAATAATTTTAAGAAAAATCATCCCTGGCTCGTTAACCAGAATCACTAACAGCCACATATCCACAAACATCCTTCCTTCTACCACACTGAAATTTCTGCAGCAACTCCAGAGTTCCATACTTTCTTCTGCCTCCATGCCTTTGTAAAAGCTGTTCCCTAAATTGCACATACATTAAATTCAGCTCAAGTATTACATCTTCCCAGAAACCTTCCCTGATACTCTTATGTTCCCATAACACTGTACATACATTTGTTATTGTACATATCACTATCGTTGGTTTTTCTGTTATTCTCCACACATCCCCAAACACGCTCAGGTGGAATGAGTACCTGTAAGTCATGATGCTCTTTGTAGAACAACCTACCCTTTGTAGAATCACCCAGGAACATAATGGTTAGCAGCAAATATGCTTATATATGTAGACATTCTCAAAGACTAACTATGAACACATGAGCTTTTAAAATAAGCCCTAGTAAATACCTTCTGATGTTACTACTTATTCATTCCCTTTGGCATCTGTGAGTACCCATCACTAGGCACCAAATTTTAAGAAAATGAAACCTGAAAATATTTTATCCATTAACTTTTCTAAAAAACCTATTCCCCATAAATTGGTAAATACCCAATTAATCAGTTGTTAGAGATTTAATTCCTCTTTAACATAGTTTGAAAATCAATGACCTGGAGGATGAGAACACTGGTTCCTTTATTTCATATCAAAACTTAAGACTTTATGTTTAAAAAGATATATAAAAACCATTTCTGGATGACAGGATTATATGTCTGTCTTTTACATTTTTTTATTATGAAAAAATGTGAAGCACAAAGTAGAGACGTTAACACAATGAACCCTCTTACACCCTGATTCCAATATGGATTCTAATCAAGACTGCCACATAACTTAAAAAATCACTTTGTTTATATGCACTTTACATTTTCCCCCCACCATAAACAAATTATAATAGGGAAAGTTATTATTATTTTAAATCAGTGATTTCAACCTTTTTCATTTCATGGCACACATAAACTACTAAAATTCTGTGCACACCAAAAATATATTTTTTGCCAACTTGACAAAAAAGTAGGTATAATTTTGATTTATTCACACCAAATAGCTATTGTGTTGTTAGCTGTTGTCATTTTTATTTTTTTTCGATTAGTTGCCTCCCACACACACCCTGACCAGGCACAGGATTGAGCCTGTAACCAAGGTATACCCCCTTGGCTGGAATCAAACAGAGGACCCATCGATCGGTGGGCCAACGCTCCAACCACTGAGCAAAATCAGATAGGGCTATTGTGATTTTTTTCTTTGACAATCTAAGGGAAAAGAAGTCAACGCCCCTGACTAAATTAGTCAGATATTGCATGTTTTAAAAATTCTTGTGGCAGCCTGGCAGGGCGTGGCTCAGTGGTTGAGCGTCGACCTGGGATCTAGGCGATTGGGGTTCGATTCCTGATCAGGGCCCCGGGTTGTGGGCTTGATCAATGACTCTCTCATCATTGATGTTTCTGTCTCTCTCTCCCCCTCTCCTTTCCTCTCTCTGAAATCAATAAAGATATATTTTTTAAAACAAATTCTTGTGGCACACCAGTTGAAAATCGCTGGTTTAAATGATTGAAAACTTATCAGTCATAATTACAAAAGCTCTGTTTTGTTTTCTTTTGGGTTAATACATTAGGGAAAAAAGGATTTTTAAAAAAAGATTATTTTCCTGGGCAAGAGCTGGAAGAGAGGGAAAATGAAGAGAACTAATTGCACATGTTGGGGGTGGGGGGGACAGGGACAGTATGATAAAGAGTAAAAGGGGTGTGCTACTAATTATTCTTTGGGGAAAACGAAGGCTAGCTTTGCACAAACAGCAAACGTCTGCAACTCAGCACTTAGCACAGATGCTAAACATTAATATCTATTGGTTGTTGATGATAAAATAAAAAATATTTAACTTGGAAAAAATCTCTATTACAGATGGATCTGATAATAGAACTTGCTTCTTTTCCAGTACTCGTCCCGAAGTCTTCCTAACGATATCTCCTAATGCATCATGCCTATCTGTCATAGAAAGAATGTTTGTGTCCCCCCAAAATCTATATGTTGAAATCCTAACCTCCAATGTAATAGTATTAGGAGGTGGGACCCTTGGGAGGTGAGATTAGTGCCCTTATAAAACAAACCCCAGAGAGTTAGCTAGCCCTCTTCTACCACGTGAAGGCATAGCCAAAAGATATCCATTTATAAACCAGGAGCAGGCCTTCACCAGACAGGCATTCTGCTGGGACCTTGATCTTCAACTTCCCAGCCTCCAGAAAGAAATCTGTTGTTTATAAACCACTCGATCTGTGATTTTTTTTTACAGCAGCCAGAATGGACTAAGACACTATCCTTCTTGTAGTTTATAATCTGGCAGTTCCTTTTTCTGGATATCCTACAGGCATATCAAAATTTCAACCTGTCCAAAAATAATTCGTTATCTTCATCTCTTTCTTCTCCTTTATTCCTTTCCAATCAACCTAGCTGCTCAATCTAAAAACCTGGGGATAATTTTCAACTCTCACTCCTATACCTAAATAAGTCCTAGACATTCCACCTGCTTTCTCACAAACTTGTTAGCTCCACTTCTCTCTATTCTTTCTTAACTCAGATCTTCATCATCTCCTGCCTGGGTGCCTGCAATACATGATCTTCTCACTACAAGGATCTTCCCTCTCCAGCCAGCCCCTCTTTCTAACACATAAATGGGCCACGTCATTCCCCTTCTTAAAAATCCTTTAAATTTTCCACTAAAAAGGTCCAAATTCTTTAATTATACAAGAATTCTAGCTCTCAATACGTCTCACTCTCCACCACTCAATCTAGTCACAATGAGTATTTAAATACTTCACACTCCTTCATGTAACTTTTACTTTTGCCTAGGATGCTTTTCCTACCCCCCCTTTCCACCCCTCTTTATTAATAGCATTATAGAAAGGGCTTCTGACTTGAGCATGACTTTGGACTACCTCATTTATAAAGTCTGTTATAACTCTGTAATTCTATACCTAATTACCACCCAGTACCTTCATTGAACCCCCTATTCCCCAACCACTGTGAGGCAGGGGTTTTATCTTATTCATTTAGCAGTGCCAGGCCCACAATACACACTGAGTAAGTATATTCTGAATAAATCAATGAGTGAATGAGGGTTCCCATATATTAGAAGTAACCTCCACAAGGATTGGGGCCATTGTTTCTTTCATTACTATATCCCCAGCACCTAGAAAACCGACTCTAACATAATGGGCATTAAATATTTTTTAATTAATTTGTTTCCTAATTATAGGAAAGCCTGCAAACTTCGCTTTGACCTCAAACCTCATTAGGCTTCTATCTTCGGGCTGCGTGGAGTGGTACGGAGGGTCAGGGGTAAGGAGGGAGGTACAGGATTCTCAAGCTGGGACAGGTCTGCCCAGTGGACCGCTCAGAAATGCTGGAAATGGCAGAATTACTAAGCTGGGGTGCCAAAATCGGCTGTGCAGTTAACCCTGCCGTAAATCATGGTAGAGACAACACTAAAAGAAAATCTGCGGCCTGCAGGACACAGGTATGGAAATAGACAAAAAAGTATCAAACAGTAGAAGATGCGAAAAAAAGAGGATAAAAGACCGAAAACAGCTCACAGGTTCTAGGGCTTCGGAAACCTGCAGATAGACCACCTTGTCTACAACTCGGAAGGCTTGGGTGGCGACGGGACAGGGGCTGAAGGAAAGAACTGAGGGGAAACAGTGTCACCGCAAAAGGACCTCAAGGACCTCAAGGGCCTGTGGCAACACTCACCACCTCCCCCTGCTCCGCGGACTTGTACACTCCTGACACCATCTCGTTATGGAGAAGCAAAAACAAGGCCTCGTCCGCCATTTCCAGCTTATTCTTCCACGCTCTGGTTTTCGGCTCCCGTTTGGGTCTGGCTCTGGGTTCCGGCTAGCGCCAGAGTGATTTGGGCGCCGCCGCCGCTCCCTCAGCCCGACCCTCGTTGCTAGGAGACCGAGGAATTCACTCGGTTTCCTGCAGGTTGGTGTTAAAGTGAGCCCGGTATGGGGGCGAGCCCGGCCCAGGGCTGTCAAATCCTGCGGACCAAAGAGAGAGTGTGACAGCTACCGGAACCGAGCCGAATCTGCGGAGACCCAGTCCAGCCCCTGGGCTGGGGGCGAAAAAACAACTTCCGGTCCACTCTACCCCGGTATTGAGCCAGCTCTATGATCACAGAGTTAGTCCCTTGGGGTGAACGACTGGTGCCCACGTGATGTAGCTGGGGTGGGGGTGGGGAGAGACAGTGTTAAGGCGGGAGGCGTTCCCACTGCCACCTTTGTGTTAATTTTCTATGAGTTTGATGAACCGACGACAAGAATGTCTATAGGCTTCATCAAAAGCTTCCATTTCCTGCCTTATATTCAATGTGAATAGTTGTAAAAAGAGTGAACAAAGCATAATTTTTCAGGATACACGTTTTAGATATATTGAAAAATTATCCCATTCCATATTGGTTTAAGCCTAGGTATGCAAAAATATTTAAAGCCATTTTGGTCACCAAGAAGTTTACCGGAAGGAGTATAAGAGGCAAGGAAGTAGCAAGCAAGATACTCTTGAACCAGAAAACAAATTAATCAGGATTAGGTGAATGGAAAAAATGTTAAAGACTTCAGAAAAGCAACGTCATTGTGGGATGGAGTTCATAATAATCCATGACAGATGTGAAACAACTACAGAGGTGCAAATACACGTTAGATACATGCACCTCTTAAATTTAGCAAATCTGGCTTAAACGTGTAGCTTAGAAGACGCCTCTAGGCTGCAGTTGCTGCCTCTGCTCCAGCTCAGCCGCCACAGGCCTGTGAGGTGTCTGACTTCATCCGCCCGCACAGCCGGATCTTTCTCCATCCGGGTCCTCAGCTAAGACAGCTGCCATGAAGGCGGCGGGGACCCGCCCACCCGCGGGGGCCGGCGC